GTTGATCGGCTCTCTTAAAACGCTGTTGCAGAAAGATAAAGAAGTTGATCGCTTGAAAGGTTTCGATCCAGGCGAACTAAAACAGAAAATCATGCAACACAATTTTGTTGAAGGCGTTGCTGCTATGACCAGAGAGGCGGAAGATGAAAATGAAAAAGAGGTATATTCCAGCTCCAGTTCACTCCTTTTTCGATGCTTTGAAGTCCGTAAGCCGATGAAGCGGGAATATGTTTTAACAAACCAATCTCCGTCGGGTTTAGACACATTGCATTTGATGTTTTTGTTTTTTCTCTCCTTAAAAGGTGCTCTTATGCAAATGCCGTGTTGTCTTTAAGAAGGTTTGAGGCGATTTTTTTGGGAAGGGGGACGGGAGGGTGGAGAGGGGGGGGGGGCATAGAGCCAGAAATACAGCTAATTTTTGGTTTATGCGGGGCTATTTTCATATGTTCCTTTTTTCGGTGATATGTTAAGTAGTTGTGGCTCAGTGTGGTTCCAGGCATGCCTTTATTTTTTTCACTAGCCTGAAATGATTGCGCTGGGCTCGCTGTTTCACTTCGGTAACGTTAGTGGCACACTTCAGTCGATTAGGCGATCGAATTTACATCATTTACAGTTCTTTTGATGCTCAGAGCGTTCGTTTCAGGTGTTAAATTCAAAACTAAAAGCTTTGATCAATCGCGCACCTCTTATGCTTTTTATGAAGGGAACGCCAGATTTTCCGAAGTGCGGTTAGTTGCTGATATAGTTCAACTGTTCGTTTCTTGTAGTGTCAGGCGATCGTTCATAAATCCGGACATTTTTGCAACTACTATAATGCGGTGACGTATTTTTGTGGAAAATGAACGCTAGCAAATGTAGAAGAGTGAGCGCTGACGTGGCAGAAAAAGCGGTGAGAGATATATGCATGGTCTGTCTTTTCGCGATCGCGTAGGCATTCAAGCCTACTTCAGACCAGTGACGTGCGATATCGTTACGATCGTATGGGGTATCGTGCGTGAGAGGCAGGCGTATTTAGGAACTGAATTTCA